TTGCCTGCTCTTCTGGATCCTTCATCAGCTTCGGCAGCTTCAGGTTCCGTCTAGCCCACCCAGACGTATAGTTCATGGCTTTCAAAGCGCGAGAGAGCCGCCGACACAGGAGCCTTTGCATCCGCTCCTGGCCCATGTTATAATACACAGACATCTCTCGGCTGAAATACTCCTGGCCGGCGGGGGAGTTCATCCCCCAACTCTCAAGCCTGGCGGCCACCACCTCGTAGCACCAGGGGAGCCTCTCATCGGCCTTCCACCCCTCAGCCAGGAACTTCTCGACGGCCTCGTCAGCAGCCCTCACGACGGCGGCCTCGGCCTCCGCCTTCGCCTTGACGGCCTCCTCACTCTTGCGCCGCTCGGCCTCCAGCGCCCTTTGGGACTCCTCGAGCTCCCTTTTGCTCTCCTCGAGCTTGGCCAGGGCATCGTCCCTGGCTGCGGCGGCTTCATCGGCCCTGGCCTGCAACGCCCTGGCATCCTCCCGGAGCCGGTCCAGGCAAGCTACCGCCTCGTCGGCCGAGGCGGCCTTCTGCTCCAGATCCTTCAAGCGAGCTATCTCTCGGTATTGCCTCTTGTGGCTCTCCATGAGCATGAAGGCACTCTGCAGAAACAAGGGAAAGAAAAGTCAGGCAAATGATTCTACACGGACGACGAGAAAAACGACACTTACAAAGGAAAGTAACTTACTTGGATGAGGAGGTCCATGCCACCCTCGTAAATCTTAACGTCCCCGAGCTTCTTCAAGTAAGCCCGATCTTTGGCCGGCATGGCCTGGGCCAGGACGTCGTGCCCCAAGACAACATCATCGAACACACCCCCGCCGACGGGGTATTCTACCATCTTCTGGTAGGTGGCACCGGCTATCTCCTTGCCGGCCCTCTTCGTCCTCGGTTCCTGGACGAGAGGAAGCGACGGGGCAGCATCACCAGCAACAGTCAGATCCACGACGGGACCACCATCGTCCACGCTGGGAACAGCCAGAGTACCGGCCTCGGTAGCCGGGGAAGGAGAAGGTGGCCTCTTCGTCTTCTTGGAGACATTCAGGCCGGCCTCAGTTAATTTCTTCTGGCCGTCAGTGGCCGGCCTTTTCTTCTTCGATGGGGCAGGCTTTGGGGCCGCATCAGTAGTAGCCCCACTCCCACCGGCCGCGGCACGTCTGGCCGCCTCGGCCGCCTTAGCAGCCAGCTCCTCGGCCGCTTTGGCCTTGGCAATAGCCATTATGGAACGCCGGTCCATGGCAAAATCTACAAAGGAAAAACATAACAGATTAGTAAGGCAAAGGACAAAACATAAAGACAGAAAGCCGAAGAAAGAATTACCATCGGCCTCAGCAGAAATGCCCAAATCCGGGCCGTCGACCTCTTCAAAGGTGGTGGTCATCCTCGGCCAGAGTTGGAGGTCATCCTCCTTGTCACCATAGACATGGTACCTCAAGAAGCCGAGGGCGGCCATCTTGTATTCAGTAATGTAATCCTTCACGCTCCTCGGCCCCCCTTCCAAGAAAGCCTCCACCTGAGCGTCCAAAATAGAGCTCTTCGGCGGGTCGTGCAGGTTAAACCTCCCGGTGTGGCCGAGGGAGGGAAACTCGGTGCCACTCTCACCAATGGACACAAACACGAACTTGCTCTTCCACCCATGAATGGACGTAGGCAAATCCGTGAAGCTCCTCTTCTTCGGCAGCTGTTGAAGAGTAGCATAGGCTGCACAGTTCTTGTGGCTTCCTCGGCCGATCTGGTACAGATTCATGAATAGTGCCGTTGTCGGCCTGTAGCCCAACTCCTCACACCGGAGCAAAAACCCCACCATCAAGGAGTAGCTGTTCGGCGTCAGCAGGGCCGGAGGAAGCCCTACCATGTCCAGGTACTCAGTAATGAAAGGGTGAAGGGGGAACCTCAACCCCTTAGCAAAACTCATCGGGTATACTCCAAAGTATCCCGGTGGTGGAAGAAGAACATGGTCCGTCGGCCTGGGTGCCCTAACCCGCCCGAACGGCCCCACGTACATCTGGGCAACAAGATAGTCGGCCGCACTGCTCTCCGGCTTGATCAGGTAGATGTTGGTGAGATCCAGGTAGGAGATGCCCGGACCACTCTTCGGCCTCCTCACTCTCTTCGGCTTAGCGGCTCCCTTAACGGCGGACACCGGCCTCGGGCACGGAATGACAGCGGAAGTGGACGCCCCGTCCAGCACTCGGGACGCACCTGCGTCCTCACCCCTTGAAGAAGAGGCGGACTCCTCGTCCTCGACCTCGTCGTCCATCCACTCTTCGGATTTGTAAGGACTCAAGTGCTCCATCTCCTCCTCGAACTCCTCGAGCACCTCGTAGTCAAGTGACCTCGTGGAGGGCTGGTCGTCATAGGGGTAGTAGTCTTCGTTCAAGCTCTTCATAACTACTACTACGGGCCTAAGGAGATTTAACTTAAGATCTAAGGGTGTTCAAACACCTAACACTAGATCACTAGCCTAAGAAGCAAAATATGAAAAGTGAGGAAGATCGCGATGAACACTAACCTTGAACAACGACGAACACGAAGAACAAGCTTGGGAGTTTATCTCTCTAGAAAAATGGCCAGCACTTCGACAATTCAGAATGCAAATGTGATTTCTCGTCGGAGGGGGAGGGGTATTTATAGAACCCCCCACCCAACGGTCACTACACGTGGCACCCTCCCAATGGCCACACCAACGGCCACCAATGGGGGGCCACCACGTCACCAACGGGCCAAACTCAATATCAACAGCCCACTAGCAGGACGGACTCTACGGCCTACACACGCTCACTCGCTTTACAAATGTCAGCAAGCGCCCACAACGTCCCACTTGCTCGCCAAGATCACAACTGCCAAACAATAAGGAGACGACAACGGCCAGGAACGTAACAGCCACAAGATCAAAGGACCCAAGAGCCCACAAGCCATCGGCTCCTCGTCAGGATCTTTGATGATAACTCTCTACAAGCGATCTGCGCACAAGGGTTCTCCCACAGGGTTACCTTGGCCAGAAAATCGCCATGAGAGTTGGATTCAGGGGGACTACGGAGAGGCCGCTTCGGCCAGGGACTCAAGCAACTCCTTCACCCCTCACACTCCTCGGCCTGAAGCAGTGGGGGACTGGGGGACTACACCGGCCTCAGCAAAACAAAAAGGAAACACTACAAAGAACATGAATGTGACCACAAAGCATGGCCACATCATCCATACAGCACAACGGAGCTTCATCGGCCAAAGGCCCATAACGTCATTAACGACGGCCAACAAGCCACTAGAGGCAAGGACACTCATCGTCCTCCGCCAACAATTAATCATGACGTGCCCTTCGGCCAAGAACACGAAGGCCAACCAGCAACGGCCAAAAGGAGTGCGTAAACACCCTCATCGGCCACCCAAAGGAAAGGACGCCATCGTCCTCAAAGCAAGGAATAACTTCAGTGGCCTCATCGGCCCGAACACAAACTTCAGCCATCAACGCCCAAGCAAAACGTGCCTTTCAACGGCCACCATTGAAAGAAGGACACTCATCGTCCAAAAACAATGACATCAAGTAAACAACGGCCCCCCTGTCCACAACAAGGAACAGATAACGGCCAAGGGCACCAAAGCATAGGAATCTACTCTCCTTCACTTCGTCTACGTCTCAGTTTAGAGAGTGGGGGACTCCTGATGGAGTATATGGGTCTGAGCCCCCGGACCCACATACTCGGAAGAACAGAAAGCACAAGGCACAGAGTGGCGCCCTCGTCGGCCAGGACGCCCCCGTCGGCCGAAAAGGGGCCAACTCGGATTATGGTCCTGAGTCCAAGGAACCCGGGTGCCCTCGTCGGCCGTGCCCTCGTCGGCCACGCCCTCGTCGGCCACGCCCTCGTCGGCCACGAAGACCTCCCAGAATCGGATTTTATACTTATTCATTTGTACAGCCCATTGGTGGCTTTGTATTCGGCCCAGTAGCGGTCCAGTTGTAAATGGGCCTCCCAAGCCCAAGACTTGGGAGCCCAACCCTAATTTTCTCTATAAATACTCCCCTTGGGAGTAGTTATAGGGGTTACGAATTCATTCTATTGAAGCATACTATTGCACTTCTCTCTCTAGCTCTCACTTCTCTCTAGATATACTCGATCAATTCTATTTTGATACAATCTATCAGAAACCGAACTGAAATCGAGAAATTCGAACGGTAAACAAAAATGTCCAGCCTAAAATAAGCAATGGATTATGTCCTCTTTTAACATCAACAAAAGAGCCAAAAAAATATGTGAGATGTTTTGGCCTAGGGGTGGACCTAGTCTTGTTCCGGCCCCTGACTTGCCAGCCCTGGGGGTTGGGGTATGTTGAATCGAGACCGACGCCAGTTATTTCGGTCGTTGGTCGGTCATGGTCCCATTTTCGATCTATTACTTATATATATATATATATATATATATATATATGTGTGTGTGTGTGTGTGTGTGTGTGTGTGTGTGTGTGTGTGTGTGTGTATGTATATTAAAACTTCCCTATCCTTTTTAGTCTTTAAATGGACTTGCACCTATTTGGAAATGGGGATAATTTGACTTTCTTTTAACAATATTTTTAAAATCATTAATGTTTTCACTCCAAATCACTATAAAATTATTTGACTTTACACCTCACTCTTTCACAATTCATGGGCTGATGGGCTACATACATTAGTAATTTAAAAAATGAGATACAAAGTCAAATATCAATCAAAACATGAGGTGCAAAGTCAAATTCTCCTTTCGAAATGCTTGTAATGTTTGAAATGCAAAAAGTACACCAAACCTGGATGGTCCCGAAAAATGCAACTGGAGACCAGTTCTCGTTAACTGAAACGCCCAAGACGGTTCCTATACCCAATACCTAGCACCTAGAGTGTTGAACAATTGGTATAAAAAAATTCCTCAATAAAACAATTCACAGACAAATATCCCGTCATGAATGCGTGTAAAGGTGTGTAAACAGTATAAATGTGCAAAAAAAGGTTATTTTCCAAAAAAAAAAAATGCAAAAAAAGATGGAGTGAGATGTTTTGGCGAGTTGCCGGGGGGTTTAGTCGTGTCGGGCTAGTTGGGGGGTTTTGCGTTAGTAGGGTTTCTTTCGGTGTCTATTTTGGAGTTTAGACTATCTACTTGCAGATTAATGTCTAAATTCTTTGCTCCAGTACCCGATTTGATTTTTTCTTCCCAATTAAGCTGCCGCTCTCCTCATTCTTCATCAATATCTTGGGGCCATTCTTTTTTTTGCTCTGTATTTTTTAATTTTCTTTGACGGCTTATACAATATATACAAACATATGAGTCGTCAATCTTGATCTTCCATTGTAATCAATTCAAATTTCAATCTGGTTGTTGTTGATACTGGATACTGATCAACAGTACACCTTCTATCAGGCTTGCTTGGTCTGCATTGATTTTTGTCTCTCTCTAATTTGGCAAATCACCGAAGCTAGCCACACTAAAACGAAACTTCAAGAAGGAAACAAGAGTTCATATACTCACACATACACAATTTCCTGGTACAAACAGTTTTCTATTGATTCTTTTATGGGATCCCCTTCTTAGTTAATTTGGATATTGTTTTGTTTCCATTTTGGCTACAACTATGTCGGTTTCCTACCTCAAGGTGGTCTTGATTTTATGTATGTAGTACGAAAAATACTAGGCAATGGCTGAGTTGCGATTACAACCTTATAGTGCTAGTACAGATGTTTACCATCATGAATGTGGGAGTTTTTTCCTGTTTTTTTGGGGTTTTTACCTCTAGAATGTAGTGAGTTCTTCTTCTTTTTATTGGGTTTTGTTTCATTAACGATTCTTAACTATTATCTCACCGTAGTTAAGTGAAGGAATTTCCCCCCAATGTTTCATATTGGCAACATATCTTATTTCATGAAAATTAGGGGACTCAATGTGCTTTTGTGACAACATTACATCCACTCCCCCTCTTTTTTATTTATTTATTCTGTGCTGATTTTCCAAAACTTAAGTAATGAATAATGCTTGTTGCTTTATTCCAACCTTTGTGAGGTGGCTATTGATAATTACGTAGAGTTAATTAAAAATCTGAATGTTATTCAGCTGCACCCATTATGTACTTTTTTCCTAATTAACTTACATCGATTAGAAGTGTATTGTGTCAGTAAACAGTCTGTTCTTGACTTATTATTATTAGGTTTTATTGGAAAGAAAAGGATGAGCTTTCCTGATCTCACACCACCACCACCACCACATTCCTTTGTCTCATTGCCATATGCTGGAGGTGATATGGCAAGCATCTGGCCTCCACTGCAGATGAAACAAGAACAGCTTGAGCTGTATCCTCAATTTGAGAATGAGCCCCCTTTTAAAAGATCAAGAAGTTCTGATACCAACCCACCAAATTCTTCAACTTTCCAAAATCTGAAAGTGAATCCACCAAATCTCCCTGGAAAAGGATCAAACCATATATTTTACAAGACGCGGATGTGTATGAAGTTCTTGGAAGGGAGCTGTAGGAATGGTGAGCACTGTACTTTTGCCCATGGTCCTGATGATCTGCGAGAACCCCCTCCTAATTGGCAGGACATCATTCGTGAAAAAGATAGAGGAGCTGGGAACTGGAACAGTAGTGATCAGAAAGCAATGCATAGGATGAAGATCTGCAAGAAGTATTACAATGGAGAGGAATGCCCTTATGGAGAGAGGTGTAATTTTCTACATGAGCGTTCGCCTCAATTTATTAAGAATGATATTACAAGAGATCAGAGAGAGAGTTCTGCTATAAGGATTGGAACTAGTGGTCATGTGTTGGGGAAGAGAAGTGATTCTGATCAGTTTGAGATTAACCAGCATTCACTTGTTGATCTAGACACTTACCGAATTAAATCTACATCCTGGAAAACAAGGATATGTAGCAAGTGGGAAATCACAGGCCAGTGCCCATTTGGCGATAGATGTCACTATGCTCATGGCCAGTCAGGTATGCCATTGATGCAGAGCTTTATTGTGTGTACATTGTTTGTGTTAAATTTTTTAAGTAGTAAAGATTATTATATATGGTTATATCGTTGTATGTTATAGCACTATACGTCTATTCTTCATTGATGCAGTTCAGATCCTGCCATTAAAACATGATCATACTTAGTTTTCAGCAACCTCAGAATTATGTTATTGTTCCGTACATCCCTTATGAATATGGTGGGCGGTGTTTCTTCCTGTTTGTGGTTGTATTAGCTGGCTAGCCGCATACTTTATAGATGAATCATGATCAGAAATGCTATTTTATCATTTCTTTTGAATGAAAGGAAACATTTTAGTATCTTAGCACTGTAATCGTTTATTTCCTAGTTGTCTCAAGTTAAAGAGTGTTCTGTTTATATGTTTGTCAGAGTTAAATTCTCCTGCTGTAAGAAATGAGATTGAAGCAACATCAACTTTTGCTTCCATCCAAATCAAGCCTCATTTTCCTGTGGTCGATCAGCCCCATGCAAATGTTGTGCCATGTCCTCAGGTGAATGAACAGCATGAAGAGGGCAAGAAGTTCTTGAAATGGAAACCAGGCAAAAAAATCTGTCCGATATATGCTGATTGGATTGACGATCTAGTCCCTCCACACCTCTTGGCTGGTAAAGTGGACGCTGAATTCTGAACTCAGGAATGTGTCGTGATGTCTTTTCTTTAGATACTGGAGGGATAATGTGATATAGAGAAATCAAGATGGAAAGCCGCCCCTCTTTTCTTTTTTTCTTTTCAGTACCTCACTGCAACTTTTCTATTCATTGAGTTTTGATTAACCTTTTTATATATATATATATATATATATATATATATATATATATATATATATTTGAGTTTTGGAGTTGTGATTGAGTTTGCATATTTTTTCTAGTAAAGAGTTGTAATAAGATTACTTGATGGGGTTCTCCTCATAATGATACTTCCAAACAATTTTTATCCTATTTTCATTATTACATGACTTTGGAATGGGTGATTAGATACTTTGGATGTTTTTAATTGGATTGGTTGCACTTAGGCATGGACCCAACTTGGTTTTGGTCCGGTTCCGGTATTTAGGGTCTCGATCCGGTTTTTGGTACCCGGCCAGTCCTGCACTCGGTGTGTTGTTTTTTGTTGTTAAATACGTAGTATAAAAAATAAGTATATACATTAAAAATGATTGATAGGGGGAAGGTAAAAGTTAAATTGATTTGTACATTTTAAAAGGTATATATAAAAAACAAATAACTATATTTACAAATCTTCTACTCTTTGGAACTCTAGCTTCCTTGGTCGGTTTTCATTTCCTCCATGAGATGGCGGGTCAGTGCTATGTTTAGTTATTGAGATTGCCGGTGGGTGTTCAAACAATTTTGGAAACAAACGAGCGTTTCAAGGAATTCCGCGCTAAGCCTCGTTTTATAAACGGTGAGGACGTTGTTGGCTTCACTAAAGTCTTGTTTCATGACAATCGTTGATACTGACATCGATTGAACTTGTTTTGTCATACTACCTCTGTCCGAAATAATCGTCCTGGTTTGAGCTTCACACAGATTAAAAAAGTGAAGTTGACCTCACATTGTAGCGACACTGTTTGGCACTGTAGCGATACTGTTTGGCAGTGTAGCGACACTGTTTGGCACTGTAGCGACACTGTTTTGCACTGTTTTGCACTGTTTGACACCGTTTTGTATAGATTTATTTACCAAATAAGGAAAGGAGACAATTATTTCGAGACGGATCGAAAAGGAAAGCAGGACAATTATTTTGGGACGGAGGGAGTAGTTGATAAAATGGGAAACATCGTTTTTTTTCCTTTCACCATTAAAGAGTGTCAAATTCTTCGCCCTTTTCATACTCACGAGGAAACATTAGATATAAAGAAAACTAGTTAATCGAGTTTGGTGAAACGCTATGAGTTAATTTAGTTTTTTTTTCCAAAAGATTTGATATTCTCTATTTAAAAAGGCTATTTCCTTTAGATGAAGAAGCAAGTTGTTTCGAGGGAGGGGATATACTAGTATATTGTGTATGAAAATCATTAAATAAAGTATGAAATATATTACCAACCTCGTTGAATTGTGCTTCAACATCAATATGATTTTCCTCGTATATAGAAAAGTTGCAATAGAAACAACTATAATAATGCTCTAAAATGTTTGGTAACTCGAAAGTTTGAAATGAGAATCAAGAACGAAAGCAATAACATATATAGGCGGAATGAAGACGTAATGTTTTTTATAAAAACAAATTTCATGAAATCACAAGAATAATGAACATATTCGGCATTTTCAAACTCCTTGAAAACACGGGCAAGATTAACAACTTCTATTGAAAAGCACATTACTAGTCGGTTGATAAACATGAGAAAAAGATTGAGTGGCATTACGAAAAAAACTAACACAACAACGAATAACCTTCTTATGCATCTGCCAATCATCATTAATGAAATGTACAGTAATACCCAAATAATACAAGTGATGATATGTATCCTCTCATATATCATAGAAACGGTCACACGTCCACGGAAATTTGCAAAAAAAAATTGTTTTTCCAAATTATATTGTTTAATAACTTCTTTTTAATTGTCTTTTGGTCATAGTTTCGAAATTGCGGATTTAATGAACCTTGAACATATGCATGCAAAGCAGACCTTCAGAAAAAAGGCAAATTTTATTCCGAGACATAGCTTTCAAATGTTGTTCTTCATTATAATTAAAACTACCAAAGGGTTGAGAATTCGCAAACCTTGAAATTTGTGCTAGCATGCCCTTTCCTTTCGTCCTCGTCACCTCCACAGGGTGTCTCAAACTCAAGTACCTACTCATCGTGCCCATACCCTCTCGACGTCCTCATGCACAATCTTTGAGAACAATATCGACATTGTGCCTATGAAGTCTTATCGTGCAAACTGCAAACCGCCCCCTTGTTGCAATAATCTTTGTGCACAGGATGTCTTCGTCCTCCAACTCTTCATCAATTTTGTGAAGCGTTTGTTGATTTAGAAACCGCCCCCTTGTTGCGATAACAATTGCGCCATTTGTTCGTCTGACATGGCATCTATAGAGTCAAAATCACCGCCCAGTCATCATTTGTATCACAGACTCGGGATAAAGATGTTGTCCCCACAGGACGTTAACCACCGGACCACGAAGAAGATTGGAAATTCCCTAGAGTTTGACATTTATAAAATTTGATAAATGACTAAAAATGCAGCTAATATTAAAATATAACTGGTATTAAATTGTGATTAATATGAAAATGTAGATAATATTAAAATGTGACTAATATTAAATTGTGGCTAATATGAAAATGTAACTAATACTACATATTAAAATGTGTGTAATATTAATTGTAACTAATGTGACTAAAACATATGAGTAATATAGTTAATATGTGACTAATATTAAATTGCGACAAAAAAAAAAATAATAATTAAATTGCGACTAATGTGAAAATGTTACTAATATTAAATTGTGACTGATATGGCTATGTAAGTAATATTAAATTTTGATTAATTTTAAATTTTGATTAATATTAGAATGTGACTAATATTAAATTGTGACTAGTATGAAAATGTAACTAATTAAAATATTAATAGAAATATAGAATACAATATATAACAATACTGCTATGAGATGAGTGGTATAATATATAATTATATATTAAGTAATATATATATATATATATATATATATATATATATATATATATATATATATATATATATATATATATATATATATATATATATATATATATATATATATATATATATATATAGGGTGCAGTTTCGATAAAAACCATCCTTATTGTGCAAACTGCAAACCGTCACTATTGACTCAATTTGATTCACTTTAAAGCTCGGCTCAATTATATATATATATATATATATATATATATATATATATATATATATATATATATATATATATATATATATATATATATATATATATATATATATATATATATATATATATATATATATATATATATATATATATATATATATATATATATATATATATATGTAGGGGTGAAATCACATACTAACCATGCTTAATTTACTAACCTACAAACTCAATAATATGCACCACTTTGAACTTCAATATGCAGTACAAATAATGTAAAGATGTACTCTTTGAACTTCAATATGCAATACAAATAATGTAAATATGAAACTGCTATTTTTTGGCTTGAATAATATGAAACACTTTAAACTTCAATGTGCAATACAAATAATGTGAAGATGATTTGAATGGGAGGACTAGTTTGTATGTGATCCCATTCCTGCATGTTTACATTATTTGTACTGCATATTGAAGTTCAAAGTGCTGCATATTATTGAGTTTGTAGGTTAGTATTTTAAGCATGGTTTGTATTTGAATATATATGTAGGGGATGGCCAAAAAGTGCAACGCAAACAAGAAAAAGTGCAAACGAAACATGAAAAAGTGAAAATTTTGCACTTTGCACGGGAAGATCACTTTTCATTTGAACTCTTCCCTATATATATATATATATATATATATAGATTTTGGTTCAAATAAGAACATGATCTTAGGAGAGAAATGAGAATAAATCTGGACCGTTAGATTTACATTAAGTGAAATTCAATGTGCATTAGATGAAACTGTAATGTGCATTAGATGAAATTGAAATGTGCAGCATAAATGGTATGATTCAGTGGCATTATGTGAAGCGGAATTGTGCATTAGGTGAAATTGAAATGTGCACTAGGTGAAACTGAAATGTGCAGAATAAAATGTACGACGTGATGTTATTTTTGTACCTTTTATTCTGTACATTTTTGTTTCATATAATGCACAGTTGAGCTTAAATTTTTATTCTGCACATTTTAATATCATCTAATGCACATTTCAGTTTCACCAAATGCACAATTAAATTCCACATAATACAATCCAACGGTCCAGATTTGTTCTCACTTCTCTCCTGAGAGTCCGTTATTACCGGAATCACTCCCAATATATATATATATATATATATATATATATATATATATATATAGGGGACGGTTCCAGTGAGAAAGAAGTCTCTGGAGAGAAATGAGAATCGCCATTAGATATGTAAATCACTAGTCAAGATTGAATATAAATGAGTAGTATTTTAGTAATTCAGTGAAACTTTGAAGGTTCATCTTAATCATAAAAGTGCAGTGCATTAATAGTGAGGGTAAGAAAGTAAAATGCTCTAAGCTTACAAATCGGGCTCTTAAACTTATTTCCTTTAAAAGCTCAAATAATTTTGAATTTCTCACCATTAAACAGAAACTTTCCAATTACAAATGTCTGACCATTGAATACAACCATTACAAGCTCAATTATTAAGATTGTATAATTTACGTACTCACGCTGGAATTAGTTTACACTATCGTATTTAGCAAAGCTTATTTTAGTGCATTTTAATACTTACGTTAATGCTTTTTTTTTTTAGTTGTGCAATAAATATTGTATGCACATTTTGTGAAAGTATTATACAATTTATATATATTTGCTCGGTACATATGTTCTAAACCTATTAATAGTGCACAACTAATTAAAGTACTATGCACTTTATAGGGGAATAATATAAAAATATACGTATTGTGATGCTTTAAGTGTAGGTAAATGCACTTTTATACTTGATGCACTACAACTTAAAAAAGGGTGTGATTCCAGTGAAAACACTTTTTAATCTTAGAAATGAGAATGTTCCAAAATGATGCACTTTATTGTTTACAAAATTGCACATTTATAATTAAAACTTTTGCAAACTTGAAATGCACATTTTCTAATTTTTGATATGCACATTTCCGTTTTAAATGATGCACGATACCCAGATCCAACGCTCCAGAATCATTCTCATTTCTCTCGTAAGATGATATTCTCATATGATCTTTATTTACTCCTTTTTTACATAAGCTAGTGTATATGTATAATTAGAATTCTCAAGTTGGTAACAC